CTATGGCAATATGTCGATGATTCCATGACTGGGATTAGCCATACCTACCGAGCGCCACATTGAAGCCGCTTTATATTCGTTCTTGTCCCGAACAAGAAGTGTCTCCAAGTGATGCACTAGACGCTCAGACTTTACGATGACGCGCTTCGACGCGCTGTAAAGCGCTGTAATGCGCTGCAGTTGCGACAACTCCACAGTGCTTTGGTGCCAACGCAGCCTAGATGAAAATCGATTGGCGCCGTCCTTGCGGCCAATGCCGATCCATAAAAGCCCGCGTAGTTAGGCAACGCGTACCCTTCGCTCGCCCATACCCTCTCAACACATAGCGCCATTGATTAGCCGTCTGCCGCTGCGTCCATGTCCATAGGGTTGCGGCGCTGTGCAATTGTAGCACGTTCGTTGACGCGTGTAATACACCTTTACGTTCGAGCTGTGAAGTCACTTCTGTGGATTTCAGTCCGTGTGCGAGGAGAAGGGGTCTAGCTGCAGTGGCGCACCTCTTTCTCCGATTGAATTTGCACGGGACTGAAGCGTAACCGCCAGCTGGGTGCCGTCTCCTTACCCCCTCTGCGCTGCGGGTGCTGCACTTCGAGGAGAGCGTGGACGGAAATGGTAGAGGACAGCCGTGTATCGCTTCCCTCCAGCCTCGGCTGACTTCATGCTCTGCGTCAGCGTCCAGCAGCGACCACTAGCGTCCATAAGCGTTTTGAGCGTCCGGCAGCGTCAGCGACTAGGAAAGTATAGATATCGATCTAGCGTCTGCCAGCGTCCACCAGCGTCCACCAAGCGAACCACCAGCGTCTCGAGGGCTAGGGAAGTGAAGCTATCGATCTACTGTCTGTCAGCCTCAGCCAGCGTCCACCAGCGACCAGCAGCAGAATGCTGCTAGAGAGTATGGGGCGATAGGAGGGTACCAGCTGTCTGCTACCCTCCTGTCGCGCCATACTCTCCAGCAATAGTCTGCTACCCACCTATTTCCCCATACTCTACTAGAGGTGTTCTGAATGGAAGTAGAATGCGTGCCGCATCCCACAAAACTAGAGGTGTGCCACCCTCCTACATCCCCATACTCTACCAACTGTCTGCTACCCTCCCGTCGTGCTATTTCCCGCTGTAAGACTCTGGCAGACGCTAGATTGATACCTATCTTCCCTATCCGCTGGCGCTGCTGAACGCTCGGGATGCTGATGGACTCAATTGGTCACTTAGACGCAGCCTCCCGCTTCTGAGTGGAGGAAACGGTACGCTACTGTAGCTGCGCCCCTATCAGGTAGCGTTCAGACTCCACGATGACCCACATCGATGTGCTGTAACGCGCCACCACTGCAGGAGCACTCCAATGCTATAGAGGCGAACGCAGTCGCAGGTGTAATCGATCGCCGCCGGCTGCTTGTGTTTTGAGAGAGCATCGGATAACTGGAGGTCAGGCGCCGCCTTCGCACAAAACCCTCCTATTCTTCTATAGTTTCTCAGAACACTAGCGTGCTGGTCGATACCAGGCTGTGCGACTAGGCAGCGAGTACTTTTCTTCCCTCCCCTCCATTCTCTCTCAAAACACAAGCGGCCGCGCCGATCAATTCCCATCAGCGGCTGCGTTAGCCTCTAGCATTAGAGGGCCTTGCGATTGCAGCCCATTGCCGCGTGTCATCATGGAGTCCGAACGCTGCCTGGCTTTATACGATGAGCGGTGGTTTCGTGGCCTCGCAATCTCATTCCACGGAACAATGGTACATCATCTGAACCATTTGTGAATCATTTACAGGGGTGGGAAAGAAGCGCCTTAAAGACACATTTCGCATTACCGATCCGCGGAATTCTTTCCTTGAAGAAGCTGACGCAGTTCGC